TGGAGGAAGGGGGCGGAGGCCCCCGGAAAGGGGCCGGGCCGCTGGGGAAGAGGTGGCGGGAAAGCCGAGGAGGGTAGCGGCGGGGGCGGACAGCCGAAGGGAGCGGGAGGCGGCGGCTGCGGGGGTGGGGGGCCCGGGCGACCTGGGGCGAAGAAGGGCGGCAGGGCCATGGCCACGACGAAGGGATTCTGAGAAGTGACGGGAATCTGAGTGGTTCCTCAAGATAGGGTCTTCCGGGAGGAAGTGACGTAGTACCACGCGCGACACCAGTTTGACGCACCCGACCCAGAGAGCCCGGCGAATGGTGGTCGTTCATTCAATCCTTCCGTTTATGAATATTGTCCTTACACTGCAGTCCAGATACGGAGCTAGCAGCTTTACAGTGAGACTAACAGACAGTCCCGCTCCTCGTAGAACTACCTGTCCAGTAAAGAAAATTCATTAATCAAGTAATAATGCAAAAAAAAAATGCAGAAGTGCAGCAGTGAATATATACTACCAAAGAGGAAAACGGGGCAAGAGGAGCTTATAGGAGAATTTGAGTTAAGAAGGCTGGGGAATGTTGTTTGAGACTTTATCTGAGGTCTGAAGGGTAAGTATGTGTTAAATAGTGGAAGAGAGGGAGGCACAGTTCAGATGGGAACATTTACAAAAGCCCCCTGTTAGACTATAGGAGTAGGTCTGCTGCGGGAATTCACAGAATGCCAGGGTGGATAGAGTACAGAAAGTCCGACCGGAGCCTGGTGATCCTGGGAGCTGGACAGAGATCGTAGCGTCCAGGATCTCATATCTTAAGAACACTGGGAAATCACTGGAGAGTTTTTAGCAGGAGGGTAACGGAAGGCTCTTTGAGATAATTGTAGATCATGTGCGATTGTAATAAATAGTACAGCAAAATCCTGTGTACTCTCCCAATTTCTCCCAATTGTAGTATCTTGCAAAACTGTATTACAGTATCACAGCCAGGATGTTGACCTTGATGGTCAAGATACTGAACATTTCCAAACTTTCAGGATCCCTTATTTGCCCTTTTATAGTCCCACCCACTTTCCTTCCTAAACCTCTGGCAGCCACTATCTGGTCTCCATTACTGTAACTTTTGTCCTTTCAAGAATGTCATATAAATGGAACCACATAGTACATAACCTTCTGGGATTTGTTGTTCTCACTCAGCATAATCCTCTGGAACTACATTCAGGTGGTTGTATCAGTGTTCCTTTTTATTGTAATCAAGTGTGCAAAAAAGGTGTGGATTAAACGAAACCATACTTTAATTACTCATCTGCTGAAAGACATTTGGATTGTTTCCACTTTGGGACTATCATGAATAAAGCTGCTATAAACATCTGTATACAGGTTTTTGTGTGAACACAAACCATCATTTCTCTGGAATAAGTGCCCAGGAGCACAATTGCTGGATCATATGCCAGTTAAATGTTTAGTTTTTAAAGAAATTGCCAAATTGTTTTCCACAGTGGTTGCAGCACTGTACATTCCCACCAGATATATGAATCATCCCTTTTCTCTGCATTCTCATCAGCATTTTGTGTTGCTATTTTTTATTTTAGACATCCTGATAGGTATGTAGTGTTATTTTATTGTGGCTTTAATTTACACTACCTTAACAGCTAGTTATGTTGAGTGTCTTTTTATTTGCTGATTTGCCAGCTGTATACCCTCCTCATTAAAATGTCTGATCATGTCTTTTGCCCATTTTCTAAATGGACCGTTTGGTTTTCTACTATTGAAATTTGTGAGTTCGTTTTATACTCTAGATACTTGTCCTTTGTATGTGGTTTGCACATATTTTTCCCAGTTTATAGGTTGTCTTTTCATCCTGTTAACATGCTTTTTGGTTTGTCCTTTTTTTCAGAGCAAAAGTCCTTAATTTTTATGAAGTCCAACTTAATGAGTCTTTCTTCTTATGGGTCACGCTTTTGGAGGCAAGTCTAAGAACTCAGTCCTAGATCCTGAAAAATTTCTCCTGTGCTTTTTCTAAAAGTTTTATAGGTTTACATTTAAGTCTGTGATCCATTTTGAGTTAATTTTTGTATGAGGTGTGAGACTTTGGTTGAGGTGTCCTCCTCACCCCCCTACCCCAACTTTGGATATCCAATTGCTCTAGCATCTCATGATTAGATCTTTACTTTTTAAAAGCAGTCAAGTAATAGATGATACCCTGGGTAAGAGTCCAGCTCTGTATCATGAGAAGAACCAATCAGAGCCTGACCCCACTTCCCAAGGGACTTCTAGTATTTCTCAGAAACTCTTTGTAATATTCTACATAGTATTTACTTATATCTTATATATTAAGTAATTATGTAATACTGTATGTAATATTTAAAGGCTTCAGTTTTCATCTTAAAATGTATTAGGTAAGGTATGGATATAACTTATTGTCTAGATGGATACTCAGTTCTCAATGTAATTTATTGCATGTTTTTTCTAATTTTTCTAATACTAAATTCATATATATGTGTGTATGTATATATTTTTTTTGCGGGGGAGGGGGGCGGGGATCTATTTCCAGACCTTACATTCTTTTCCATTGATCTGTCATACACTGGTACACACTTAAATTTTTAAAGGTTTATATTATTTTAAAAATACAAGATGCAGTCCCTCCTCATTCTTCTTTTGGTGTGTTAAGTGGAGAGGCTCTGGAACCAATCTACCTGAGGTTAATTCCTGGCTGTTACTTACTAGTTGTGTGACTTTGGGAAAGCTACTTACCACTCTAGGCTTGAGTTTCATCATCTAGAAGGATTGATAATACCATCTACCTCACAGAGTTGTGCTAAAATGAACAATGACACAGAGTAAGCACTATGAGTGTGCATTATCATTCTGCTTGTTTACCAGCATATTTTTACACATGAACTTTAGAATCCCTTTGCCTCGTTTAGCTTTAAAACTTATTGGCATCTTATTGGAATGTTAAATTTATAAATTAACATAGGGATAACAGACACCTTTATAATATTGAGTTTCCCCACTGAAGAACATGGGATACCACTTTGCAGACACATTTGCAAAAATACCTACCCATCCACTCTTCCACTTACATTGCTATCATCTTAGTCTAATCCATCATCTTCTGGTAGGACTACAATGGGCCTGAGTGTCCCTTATTCAATCATTGCTCGTCTATAGTCTGTTCACTTATACTGCAACCAGAGGCCTTTTAAAACATTGTCTTATTTTATCATTCCTCTGTGCAAAGCCTTCCAACAGCTTCTCACCTCATTCAGAATCAAAGCCTGGAAGGGAACTGGAAACAGCAAGATCAACATCTAAGGGTTCAAGGGAGTTGTGTGTTGTTTGCTGATGAGAACTGATCCGAAAAGTGGGATAAAAAGTGATGAGGTAGGAGATAGAGGACAAGTGCTGAAGAAATGTCCACAAGGAGGCCGCCAGTCATGTTTCCCTCCATTTTCCTCAAAGCCTTCCCTTCCCAACAATCTAAGATCCACATCAAGTGATGGCCAACTTTCCTGCTTAAAGCCCTTTTAATAACTCCCTATTACTTTTTGCATAAAAGTACAACTTAACCTGGCATAAAAGATATTCTCTAAAAAAAATAAGTAAATGTATGGCACACCAAACCACTACGGTAGGTACTGGTTATAGTTAAGAAAACAGGCATGGCCTTCACCACAGTGGGACTATAGTAGTTAGAAAGACAAACAAATGAAAAATAAGCTTGGGAGGTTTGTTATAGGACAAGAAATTCTAGGCAGTGTTTAGATGCTGCTGGGAATGTTTCAGAAGGAAGGAGACCAATAACGTAGTAACGATACTAACAAAATAACAGAAGGCCTTGAGAAATGAGAGGGACGATGGGATCCCCTAATAGTGATGTGGAGGGACTGAGTTTTGATTAAAGGGATCCTTCAGCTGTAATTGGAGAGAAAGGTTGGGTGCTGAAGCACGTATAGTTTTATAGGTTTGATGGTTCCATCATTTGGTTTCTTAATGAAAGGCAAAGTTGGATGTAGAGGGGAGAGAACATATTCAACGTTCGTCTCAGAGGAGTAATATTTAAGTCATATGTTGCCTGTTTCTCAACTCCTAAAGCTCCCTAGTTGTGTCACATTTCTTGAGATTTTTATTTAATTTTCATTATTCCTTTCTGACAAATTCCTACTTGTTCTTCCAGATCCATCTGGGCTACCACCTTTTTGTGCCACCATACCTGGCATCTCACTTCTGTTGTTATAATGTACTGATGTTTGTGTTTGCTTCCTTGCTAGACTACTGTGCTTCTTGGAAAGCTTACTAGTGTGGGGCCCATGTAGGATATTTAAGTAAGGGTTTTCAATCAATGTTTAACATAAACCTCAATAACAGACATTTTGTCTGTGGAATCTACAACTAGAATTTATTAGAGGAATATGAAAGTGTCAAAGATCAACCAATCACTAGAATAAAGCAGCTCAGATATCTGCATCCTTTTAAAAATGGCACTGTATTATGGATACACCACTACAATGGCCTTCGTTTAATCCTTTTGTTTTATTCAAATGCCAAAACAAGTTTCAAGATACAAATCGTAGTTACACTCAGTTGTGTTTAATTTAAAAACATCGATTATGCTTTGTTAACAACTTCCAAAACCAAATGTAAGTTGTTGTGACTAAATGTCTCCCAGTCTATTTCAGGACGAGTACCCTTAATATATTTAGTTGTTACTCCAATTTTCACTCTACAAAAAGGAAAATGAGGCTGTAAGAAAAAGATAGTGAACAGTTATAATATGAAAGACTTCCTGAGAGAACTTTAACCATTGCTAGGGCGACCAAGAAGGATACCTGTTTCTGTTCCATACTAGAGCAACCAGGCTTAAACACTTTGCAAAAGTGCATTTCTGGTCCTACCCCAGCCATAAGTAGTTACCTTATGTCTCTTATTACTTCACAGAAAGTCCAACTCTTCATCAACAAGATTTAGAATTTGCTAATAGCTTAAGGTTCTTTTCCTAGGAAAAAGGGGCTAAAAGGAAAACTCAAGCGTTTATAAGCCAAAAATTGAAAACAAGTATTTAAATGTACTCTCATTTAAACAATTTCAAATGAGGCTGAACTGAATGAATAGTACAGAAACTTCCATCAACACAGAAGGAAAGAAAAAAAACTTAAAAGGTACCTAAATATTTTAATATGCATGGAATCAAATAAAATAATTTTCATTGTTAAGCCCCCAAATTTCCCCCACTGTTTAGTTTTGTTA